ACAGCGGGGTAAAGAGGAAAGTGGTAGGGGAGTTTACAGCGGAAGAGCATCAAAACAGAATTTAACCTTGAGATTCATTGATGATAGTAAATAAAAGCCAGAGATATAGAAGTAGGTGGTTAGAGGCAAAGATAAAATATTTTTTAATAATAAATTTTAAAAATATGTTCATGCAATAAAACTAATAAATTATTATAAATACATAATAGTATATGCTATAAAATATTTAACAAACACTATAAAAAATTTGTTTATTAAATATTCAATAATTAAAAGTTAGATATAATTAAAAGATATTATACGTATTGTATATCGTATAGTGATTGATAATTGATAAACTAAAATGTTAATGGATCTATTATATAAGATGTCTTGTTATTTAGATAGTATTAATTACAAAAGAAAAATAGATGCATGTGAATAACTATTTTTTATATTAAATATCAGTAGATATTATTTACAATAATAATATAATTAATATAATGTATAATTAAAAAGCACAAAATTCATCTTTTCCTACCTATACCATAAATATATTCGGTAATTTTAAGTGGAAATATTAGCACAAAAACTAAAAAAAAACAATGTTCTGTAGTTTTCAAATTCATATTAGTAAGAGAGTAATATTTTGACCAAACGAATTCTCAGTGTAAGGATATTTACATACCATATAATTTTACATTAATTAGGTATTAATCATAACACGATATTAATAAAAAACACAAGTGTTGTATTTTAATAATATATTTAGGGACTGAGTAAAAAATATAATATATGTATAATATTCTTACATTTACAGGTTCATATTAAATAAAATATTGTAACCTGAAAAAATATATATTTTGTTAAATGCCACTGTAAGGATCCAAGCAGAAACTAATTTCTCATTGGCTTTTTACTTGTTGACATATGTATTTGCATAACAGATAACATAGTTATAGCAAATAGTCTAAAAAAAACGGCGTCAAAGGCGGCTGAGGAATGACGATTGATAATTTAGCGAGGTCAATCTTAAACTACACCATTTAAAAATCATATTTACTTAATGTAAAAATAAATTACAACCTTAGAGCGCCTTTAAAAAATAGTACGAGCCAAGAAAATGACTTCTAGGGCTTGACCTCACTGAAATTATCATATTTTCATTCCCCAGTCGCCTTTGAAGCCGTTTTTTTCTCGATCGTATGGTTTCCTAACTTATTCAATCAATCAATCATTTATTTATTTCCATAAAACAATGTACAATTGTATAGGAATAGTCAATAAATTCTTAAAGCTAACACAAATATATAATACAAAATATAAAAAAACAAACACAACAGATCATAATAAAATTATCATATACGTAGGCCTCATATTATAATTTGCAGGTATTCCTCCACACTATAAAAGTTCATTCCGAACAAATCATTTTTTAAGTAAAAGTCTAGAATATGCGATTCTAATCACTATCATAATTTGTCTCTCAACAAAAGTAATTCTGTAGCTCTGCCTAGGGTTCACATCTCTCACTATTTTGCATAGTAGCATTACGTCAATTTTAAACATGATGTAAAGGACCAATTTCATATGCACTATGTAATTAAAGTAACGACTTCCACACCATGAATATCTTCACTTCCTAAAACAAAATATAAACATGAAGTTGGTGAATATAAATATCTACATTGAGTATACATTGTGAGCAAAATAAAATTGACGATCAATGACATTCACCACATAAATTTACATTTTATAAAATTACATAAATCTTGCTTTCAAAGCCAACCCTAACGCTGTTTTTTTTTCGATGGTGAGATCTTATACAACTATAGTGTAATTTTTTCGTATGGTAGATCTTAATATAATATATATTATGTATATATATATATACAAATCTATATACATATAGGGTAACACCTCTCATAGGACGAAGGCTCCGAAGGAAAATGAAAGTAATTTGTATGACTTGATTGATTTCTAAACCCTCCATTTGTTCTTTCAATACAAACTTCCATCAACAAAAATCCTTGAAACCTTCATATCGTATGAAAGGCACCACCCTGTACACTTTGAATCTGTGTATACATATTAGTATATAGTAATATTTTATATTAAAAAATTAAACTGTAAATATATATGTACTTACATATTGTGACGGAATAGGTATCCTAACAAGATCATAGTTCTTATCTCGTTATATGCAGGATCCTGATATCTTAATGTTAATTTCCTAGGTGATGTTGAAACAACTGAAAGACCACAAATCGCGACATAAATGGCTGTGAAAATCATCAGATTTTAAATATTTTCTTCAATTCCTTATAAAAAAATCAGCTGTTCTTGAGTTCTCTTTTGCTCGACTTTTTAATATTATGCTATGAATAAATCCTAACAGAGAAAACCATTTAATTTTTCTCTCACTATCTTTTAGAAATCTGAAATAAAATATTTATCTTAGTAATAGAAAACGTAAATAGGCATTATTTTACAAATGTAAACATACCAATTATAATTTATGTAAACATACAAATTATTTGTATTCATAATTAAATACAAATATACGATTTTAAATCGGACAATATTGTAACAAAAATATAAACATTACTTCTTATAATATACATAATATATTATATTCACAAAATTATATTATAAAACAAATAAACAAATTTTAACAAATATGGTAAATATTTTAGGTAAATAAAACGAGATGTTGTATTACCACAGAACAGTACTTACTTTTGAAATGACGATGTTTAAATTCTTTTATTCTCACACATTTTGCCAGTGTAGACCCATTTTAAATGCTAATTTTGGTCTTTTATATAAAATGAAACAATTATACATTAATAGTTTATTAATAGTTAAGAAATATGGAAAAATAAAAGCACGGCAAACAGCTGATCATGCCAATCAGCTGTTTATCGACAGTATTGACACTGTTGACCGCGTCCAATTCCCCTACTATAGAAAATACTATAACAACAGAGCGGCGTTGTCAGATTAAAAATTAATCCTAACGGCTGATGAAAAATGACGAAATTTACAAATATTTCAAGTTTATTTTTCTTGTAATCTTGACTGAATCTTAATAAGTACTAAATAAAATTATAAATGTCGAAATTTTGAAAAGTAGTAAGCTAATTATATTATTATTTTCTTAAGATTTCCCCAAAGTATACGTATACAAAATTAAAAATAAACAAAAGCGGAGAAATACTGGGCAACATACCAAACAATAACAATAGGATGTTGGCATTCGCATAAAATGTAAACAGTTCCCCTGTGCTTCGCACACAAGCTTCGCACATGGGTCGTCTGATTTTCGAAGCGGAAGCGGAAACGTCTCGAACCTCGAAATCCGAGCGAATCTCCCTCCACCAGAGGAGTTGCCAACTTTCTGAAATATAATTCCCCACGAAGATGGTCAAAATTTTCCGTTTTTTTTTCTAAAAATTCCCACTAGTTAGTTCTCAAACCTAATATCGGGTCATCGTCAACACAATACAGATGTTATATGATTTTTAACTGAAAATTTAAAAAATCGTATTTTAAATTTCATTGTAAAGTGCCATGTTTCTATTAACCACACTAATTATTGTGAATCAAGAGGGGCCTTGGAAGAATAAATTTGATCGTCTAATGTTTTTCGTGTCTTGTCGTAGTCGGTCAAAAGATGCCCAAATCGTATTTTTAAGCATATCTCAATATCTCAATTATTTCAAATGGAATGAGGGTTGTCGTCCACTCTCGTTCCATTTGAAACAAATAAATAGGATTAAACATATGATTTGGGCATCTTTTAACCGGCCAGGACAAGACACTAAAAACATTAGACGATCAAATCTATTTTTCCAAGGTTCCTTTTATTAAAAATTAGTGTTAATTATTAACACAGCCATGACACTCGTCCAGAATGAAATTTAAGATACGATTTTTTTAAGCGAAAATGTCCAAAGTTGACATATATGATATGTTATTCTATTCAAAGTATTATTTTCTCTGGAATAAAGTAAAAAAAATACCGAGGGTGCCATTTAAAAATCAAAAGTTACATAGTCATTTCCGGTAAAACAGGAAGTGACCAAAACTATTGAATACGTAATCAATCCTAATTTATGTCATATATACTAACATACCAAATCTCGTTTTTTTAACTGAAAAAATAAAAAATTATAGGGGTGGGCCACTTTTGAGACGCACCCCGTATGCCTCCAAGAAATATGCATTATAAAAAAATATGGTGTAAATTATGAAAAAAAAATATTGTTTAGAATTTAAATAAGATACTTTTTGTGTCAATTTACATATTTATTATTCAAAAATTTAAACCGCTAAAACAACCGCTAGCCACTAAATGGAGTTTTTAACCGCTAAACTCAAAAAAGCCGATAGTTCTAGCAGTAAAACCTTAGAGTAAAACAGTGGCCGTAGATTAAAAATTAAAAGATTAAAAAATAAATTAACTACTATTTTTGTTTTAAAGTTAAATCTGCGACCATAAAATAGTTGGCGAATGGCCAATGATTGGCCATATGACCATAGAACGATTGAACGATTGGACATCATAACCAGGGTTCGGAAAACTACATGTTACATTTAAAAACTACATAAACTACATTACATGTAGTTAATGTATTTTATGTAGAGGGTGTAGTTTATGTAACCTATGTATATGTAACTTTCAAATGTCAAAGGTTTGAGGTGAGGTTATAATAAGTTGAAGCTTTGAAAACACATAATGTATTTAAGAAAACAGAAGAAATATGGCTTTAAATATAATATTTATATCATATTATCTCTATTACACCTCATACAAAGGAAAATTATTCATAATATCAATACATAGTTTATTAAGGTAGTTTTCATGTAGTTAATGAACGGGAAAAGACGTAATTTTTGAAGAAAAACTACACGTAGTTAATCAGGTAAATTACGTCTTAATTAACTACTTCCGAACCCTGATCATAACTTGAAATGGCGAAATATGGCGCGATGTCACAAATTACAAAAATCAAATGCAGGTTTACAGAATATTAAAATTAATGTATTCTTATACTGTTGGAAAATATTCTGCAAGTTATAAATACCAAAAAATAACAAAAAACATTTTAAACAAATAATTTTTTTATTTAAAACACATAAAATTCAAAGTGACAAATAACAAACAAAACAAAAAACAGCTGATAATCAGTCCATCATGGCTGCCGATAGCGATGGTCTCCTAAACATGAAGATGTTAAACTTTTATTTAATTTTTGTTTTAAAATGTCGAAAACATTTAATTTTATAATTATTTTAGAGTTTTTAATTTATTATTTATCATGCCACCAAAAAAATCAAGCAAGAAAAAATCAGTTAAAAATTTAGGAGGTAATGTAATGTTAGAAACTTAAGTAATAATTATTATTCCCTCTGTTTGAACTTAAATTTAATATGAATTAAATACTGTAAAGAGTCTTTGGACTAAGGTCTAAGCCTTGGTTTATATAAGAATATAAATATACAAGCGGAGTAAATTGTAGGTATTTTTTATAGTGCAAAAAATACAACACATTAAAATATAGTCTGGGTTATTTAATTTTATCTCCATACTTTTATCTTTATCTAAATTATTTATAAAATACTGATGAATACTAAAATATAATGATCAGAAGTATTTTTGTTGTTTAGCCTATATTACTAATAATTTTTATACATTGTGTTTATATAGCTAAGTCATACTTGTTTTTTGTAGATGTAACTTTAAATGACTTTGCCAATTCATCTATACCAAAGAGTCGGCCGAAAAAATCATCAAGCAATGTGTCCATTGTTGTTAAACAAGAAGTAGAAAAAAGTTGGGATGCAAAAGACGATGAAGAATTTGAGGGAGTTTTTGTTGCTCAAGAAAATGAAGATGGCACCACAAGTTATATTATACAAAAAAGGGACACACAAGTACGAAAGAAAACTCTATCTACAAGTAAAGAATGTACAGTGGGAAATAATTTTGGCAGAGATTATCCTATAGATATTTGGTATATATTATCAGAATATATAAGACCTGAAGATGTCGGAACATTTGCATCTATTTGTAAAACTTCTCATGAGGTTGTCTGTAGTTCCAGATTTTGGTTTGGGTTATATCGTAGATATTATAGATCAGTATCAACCATGCCAGAATTTTTGCAGCCTGAATGTTTAGTAAGGAAATATGGTCTAAGAGCAAATGTTATTAGGGCATTATATTACATGTATCAGCCATTTATTGATCGGATTATACCTGTTACTACATTTGAGGAACATCCCGAATCACTAAACAAGTTTGAATGTCATTTACTTTGGCATACGATGAAGAATAGAACATATACTTATTATTTTAAAATGAGGAAGAGGCTGATTGATATAAAAGTGCATTCCAGAAGTCAACCAGAACAACCTGATTTATTAGAAATATTAGATGATATATTTGTGAATCAAGATGAATACTGTCGTATATTGAAAGTATCATGTTTACATCAAGGTCTTGTTCCACCTGTTATAGGTATGTTATAAAATTATATTTCAACTTTTCTCACTGTTAGACCATTTTTCTATACCTAGTAATTTTTGGAATATGACTATTTTAAAACTAAATTTGCTGCATATTTAAATCACTCTCAAAATTCTAAACTCGAACATGTTTGATACTAGCCAAAAGTACCCTATCATAGTCTATTTTTCAAAGTTAAGTCTACTGAAATTTGTAATGTTTTTGTTATACAGGGTGTCCCAATATTCGGTGGACATAGAACTGTTCTAGTATTTTTGCAATCAAAATAAGTTCATTGGACACAGTTTACCTCTATACAAAAGTTCTTAGTTTTCCTGTTAGAGGGCCATCAAACTTTTAAAAAATTAACATATTTTTTAAGATATTTTAAGGACCGATATTCTGTTGTGAATGAGATTTGGGGTGCCTATGTTTTGCTAAGCGTTTTAACATTTAACTTTCACAAAAAAAAACAAGAAAAAGTACAGGAAGATTGAAAACTGTCCCCATCCCTACATAAATTTTAGTAGAAATATTTTCCAACTATGTTATGTACAGGGTGTCCCACTAAGAATAGCTCTCGGCTGTATCTCGGAAAGTATTAGCCGTAGGGCCTATGGAAAAAAATATTTATAACCAAAGGGGCTATGAGAAATTGCTGGAAATTATTTTCAAGTTTGTAAAACGGCCGCTAGAGGGCGCAACTATGGAAAATTAGAAAATAGAATTTTTACTTTGCCTAGATAATAGGTACTTTAAATAATAGCTTCATAATGTTCAGTAAATTTTGGATTTTTTTTGTTAAAACCATTTTCCCTTATCTGCTAAAATAAAGTGGTGGGGGAAGGTTAGATCTGTCTTTATTTAAATGTTAATAACTCCAGACTGGATGATCGGAATCCAACAAACGAGGGCTCGTTTAAAAGAGCGTTTCTTACTCTATATTATACTATAAAAATAATAATAATGAAGTTTTGAACGTAGACGCTAGGGGGCGCTTTCTTACAACTCAACAAACAAAACGCGTTTTTTCAAAAAAATTAAATACGATAGTATGTGTAATTTTAGCTGATGAGAGTATGTGTAATTTTAGCTGAGTAAAGAGTAGTAAAAGCTTAAAAAGTCAGCGAAAACCGCATCATGATATCTTCTTTCAAACCGAAGTTATTAGCAAAAATATAATAAATACCAAAAAATATGCCCTTAATTACCTTATTTTTACAACGCGGTATCAGTAGCCCTCTTGATTATGCCCATTCTAACAAAAAAATAACATAGAAACAGTTAGTTTATTTTAAAATCGATGAAATACCAGAATATCATAATACTAGATGTATTAATATCTAATAATTAAGATATTAATAACAGTGAACAACAAATGATGATTCAGTGAAGTCATAGCTGGCTTTGAAAAAAAGTTGCTTTTGACGTAATAGTATAAACGTCAAATTGTTATTAGATCAACATTTTGATAGTCTTTTAATTGCTTTTTCAAAATGCCTCTTTTATTTGAAGTAGTTGAAATTGTTGGCATTTTGAAAAATAAATCAGAAGATAAAAAACGCTGCTGTTTATACTATTACGTCAAAAGCAACTTTTTTCCAAAGCCTGCCATGACTTCACTAAATCATCGTTTGTTGTTCACTGTTATTAATATGGTAATTATTAGATATTAATACATTTAGTATTATGATATTCTGGTATTTCGTCGATTTTAAAATAAACTAATTATTTCTAGCTTATTTTTTTGTTAGAATGGGCATAATCAAGAGGGCTACTGATACCGTGTTGTAAAAATAAGGTAATTAAGGGCTTATTTTTTGGTATTTATTATAATTTTGCTAATATCTTCGGTTTGAAAGAAGATATCAAGATGCGGTTTTGCTGACTTTTTAAGCTTTTACTACTCTTTACTATCAGCTAAAATTGCATATACTATCGTATTTATTTATTTTTTTTGAAAAAAATCGCGATATGTTTGTTAAATTGTAAGAAAGCGCCCCCTAGCGTTTACGTTTAAAACCTTATTATTATTATTTTTATGGTATAATATAGAGTAAGAAACGCTCTTTTAAACGAGCCCTCCTTTGTTGGATTCGGATCATCCAGAGAGTCTGAAGTTATTAACATTTAAATAAAGATAGATCTAACCTTCCCCCATCACTTTATTTTAGCAGATAGGGGAAAACGGTTCTAAAAAAAATCCAAAATTTACTGAAGATTATGAAGCTATTATTTATAGTACCCTTTATCTACGCAAAATTCTGTAAAAGTTATATTTTCTTATTTTCCATAACAGTTGCGCGCTCTAGCGGCCGTTTTACAAACTTGAAATTAATTTCCAGCAATTTCTGATAGCTCCTCTAGTTATAAATATTTTTTCGGTAGGCCCTACGCCTAATACTTTCCGAGATACAGAGATTACAGAGATACAGAGATATGAGATTTTAACTACAGGTAACTATATTGTTTTGTCCACTCTATCGCCATCTATTAACAATTTTTTGGAACGTAGGTAATTTATTTTTTTTGTACAGAAATAGATGATTTTTCTTCTATTTCCTATTTTTTAATAAGAATAAGTTACTTTAAATGCGACATCGCTCCATTATATCGTATTATTCTCAAGCAGGTGACGTTTCATTTAGAATTAACTTATCCTCATCAAAAAATATGAAATAGATAGAAAAAACAGCTATAGTTAATAAAATAAAAATAATTAACTGTGGATATGTTTAATAATAATTATTAGTAATAACTTTATATTAAAAAAAGTAAATAATACAAATTATACAATAAATAAAATTTCTTCTTCAGACGAAGGCTCGCGCGGCATTGCTATACTTAACTTGTTCATATAAATACAATAATAATAATAAATCAATACAATAGCATTAAATAATATAAAATACAACTAACAAAGTTTTGTCGCGAACTTATTCGAAGCGCGGCGAAAAAACGTGAATTGGATCAATGGTATCTATGTATAAAAATGCAGACCCACGGATTAGAGCGAAGTAACCATGAAGTAACGCGAAGAATCAAAATACATGCAATTAATCCAATGACATTTAGGCCGCGCGCTGAGCGCGCTGGCGCTTCGGAAAATTTAAAGCATGATGCGCACTTGAGTGAAGCGCGCCGAAGCCGAAGCAATGCGAAGCACTGTTTTTCGCACGCGATGGATAATTAAGGTTGTTTTAAGCTGACCTTTTAATTTTAGTATTATGCGTAGAGAAATATTATCTATGTGACGATTTGATAAAAACATTGGATTCATAACATTAATATAAAAATGCCTTTTATTCTGCATTTTTCCTCAATTTCTGCCGAGGTGTTTTCTCGTCTCAATTCATTATGATCATTTGGATTCTCAACATAACTCTTTGTAGCTCTCTATAATCATAATGAATGTTTCATCATCCTTGATCTCAATAATTAAACTGAATTCACAGGTTGTACGATTCCTTTGCTATGCTTGAGATCTGAAACAAATAAATTTGTATAATTATGTGACACATCAAATAAACCTCGAGTATGTTTTATAGGATGAAAAAATTAAAAGTTGATGCCGTTGAAGGGCTCTAAAATCTCAACAGAAATTGGCTATGAACTTTTTATCTTAGTCTTTAAGTTAACACAGGCATTACTTTTCATAAGAAATAATTATGGTGTTTATATGCCTTTTAAAAATAAGCAGGATTCAAAAACAATTGCTGATAAAGCGAATTTACATTTTTGAGTAGTGAGCCCCACTTATTATATTTTTTAATTCTTACCTAACTTGGATGTAAACAACTGCCTGGGTTAAATTCTTAAAAAAGGTCTTACAAGAGACAGATCTTACCTCACTCACAAAAATTGCATCATCTGCACTCTGGAAGATTTCTTATTTGGGTTATCTGATCCTTTCTATCATTATAGATACATTTTTTCTATCATATTAGATCCTTTCTATCATTATATCTATCATTATAGATACAATTTAAAAAATCTAAAACGATAATTTTAATAAACCAAATTCAGTTTGGATTCGTAATACATATTAACATTTTTAATAAACTTTGGAATATCTAATAATTGAATCACTCTCTGCCAAATTAAAGTAGCCAGTGTCATAACTTGTTTATTTACAGCTGAATTAAAATATTTTTTGTTATAAAGTTGATATGATATTTTTTTTAAATAATGTTATCTTCATTACTGAGTATTTTGCGACTTTAATTTGGCCCAACGGTGTAGGTACCTACCCTTTTCAGTTACTGCTTTTCTCAGGTAACATGTCTAATACCAACGAGAGAGTGGTCCACCAACAAGTTCTACAACAAATGTTTGTCTTTAAATACAGGGTTTGTACCTCTGATCGACTTTACTGGACACCAAATTACCAGTAGGTTGATCATCTAAAAGATTATTTTAATTTTATTAGATCAAAATATCTGAAAACGTTCTTTATTTAACTAAATGCATATACTTACCCATATGAACTTTGTGTATATAAAAACTCAGTTGGAAGAGAATTAACTTCTAAACCTCTTTTTATTCCAGGTACGATTTTGATTAGAAAAATGTAAGTCACAAACTCTATAAATCTTTTTAAATATCTTGCTGGTGTTGTATTTTTTCCATTTTAAGGTTTCGCACTTAATATCACTTTTGAAATAATGTAGGATCGTTCTTCGAGAATGTATGTCTTTTGAAAACAAATCCATGCATACGCGTACCACAACAACATACTTATGAAAGGGTTTACGGCCTGATTCCATCATTGTTTTTAATAAAAGTTTAAACAATCACTAAAATTTCAGTAAAACTTTTTCGATTTTTGACGGTGCATATTATTTGATTAAAACTGACTTGATTTGATTTGAAAAACGCTAAAAGTCATAATATTTTTCCCTCCAGCGCGACCGGTGGTTCGTCACAGAACTAATAAATTTGTGTATAACTGGTTGCGGTGAAAAAGTCCTTTCAAAGATCTCAATTTCAGTTTCCCATATATTTTAGTTTAT